GCCTGGACCTCACAGCCATCTGACCTTCCTGCCTCAGCTTCCTGAGGGCTGGAATTACAGGTGTGAGCCACCATGCCTGGCCTATACATTTTTTTTGTAAAACAGTCAATCATTAAATGGATGGTCAGCTTCACTTTCTTATGACTGGCTACGATATGAAGAGGCAATGACCCAGCTAGGTATAAATCCTGGCAAGCAAACCACTGTCTTTTCCTTTCCAAAACTGCAATTTTCTTCTCTTGCAGCTTCCCCAAGAATGTTTAATCCTAGTGTTCTCAGCATGTGCTAGGTGAATTTCACAGGTTTTCCTGATTCCACTGTCTCTTGACTCTAGTTGATCTTAGAGCAGCTGGCCCAAATTCCACCTCTTCCCTAAGAAGCTACCTTCACCTCGTGCGCTTGAGGGAGTCATCGCCTCCATCCTGCTCTTGCCTGGCTCCCTGCACCCCAGTATTTTCTGCTAAATTAAATTCAGGCACTCTTGGGATGAAGCAATTTCCAGACTAGTTACTTTTCTCTCTCCTTATCACAAAGGAAACCAGTTAATTACTTTTAGCTCACCAATCTGTAGTATTATACATTTACATTGTTGCCTGTGGCCCTCCCCAACTCCCCTGCTGTTTATAGAGGTCAGAGTCCCCATCTGTCCACAGAATTTTACAGTAACCAGACCTTTCTACTCACTTGGTTTAATCAGGGCTTAAGAGGGCCAACTTGCTGCCTCAGGCAGAGCCTAATCTGGAGTTCAGGTGACTCAAGGTATGCACACCTACATAATCTTTATTAAACTTGATCTTTTATTAAAAAGGCATGGGGGGGCCGGGGAGATGGCTCAATAGAATTAGCGCTTGCCTGGCAAGCACAAGGACCTGAGTTCAATCCCCAGTTCTGCAAAAAAAAAAAAAAAAAAGGCATGGAGAACAGCAGAGGGAATATACCGAAACCCAGTATATATAGCAGTTAGCACTGGAAGATTTGAAAGTGGGAATTCAGTGTAAGGTTTATGTAGTTTAAGACATTTTGAAAGGCACATCCTTAACTGAGAGAACTTTAAAAAAAATCTAATGTAGAACCTTGAACTGACATTGAGATGAATGTTGCTGTAATATTTTCCCCAAGGCGTACTCCATGCTAGCCAAGATCCCTAGCTACTGCCATCCTGACCTATGGGCGTAAATGTCCACATGACTCCTGGTGTGGGGGGACCCCCTGAGCAGCCCTCCTTGAAGGAAGAGCGACTGTCTCCATTTTGACTGAGCCTGACCCGATTTCCTCGTATCGTTATGTACAGAGCTGGCCGGGACTTCTGTTTATCCTTCAGTTGGCCTTAAGCAATGTGAATTGGTCTAGCTGAGGTGCTGGTGACAGTCTCTGAAGGTAACCTACACCTGCTGCTCTTTAATGTGAGCCGGGTCAAGACAGGAAGAGCTAATGCTCCGCCCTGCCAGCCGGATCGGATCGGTGGAGACAGAGGCTATGGCTTCCTGGGGCTTGAAAGGCTACATCAAAGCTGGAGCACCAGACTCACCAAAACAGTAGATACTATGTAATGCACATTACTCTCTCTGCATATCACAGACGTGAATTTAGGCCACCCACCTAGCTCAGCTCATAGTAGTCACTTTTCCCACAATTCTCAGTCAATCCTCCTCAAGCCACTCCTCCACTAAATAAAACCAGGTGAGTTCCTGGGTTGCTCTCTTGGTTCCAGAAAGCCATCTTCGTGGCTGGACTTAGAGCCCCTTGACTCCCTGATGACTGAAAATATAGTGTCTTTATTTTCACCGTGGGTTGCATTGAAAATGGTGGACTGGAATCAACTTGATGGGATTCCAATAATGTAACTCTGGGATTACAAATACCAGCTTCTTGGACCGAGACGAGGATCTGGAAGTGTCTCCTACATCCTGGTACTTTATTTTCTGTCCCAGAACTTCATTCTTACCTCCAACCGCCTCTTCAGTCTCCACTGGGGTAAATGAGATTCAAATCTTAGCATACTCAACGCAGGATCGGATCTTCTGGTTTGTTCTTCCATTGCTGTTCCGGTTTCCACTAATGATAGCGCTCTTTGCTCGCAGCATGAACTGTGGCCTGTTTCTCCTTTCTCTTAGTCAGTTCCCCACCAAAACCTGTCAGCTTTGCGACAGAATTGTCTTGAACCCGACACCTTCCCCATGACCACCATCCTGGCGCAGGCTCCTCAATCTCTCCCTTGAATGGCCTGTCTTTATGTTCAAGGCAGACCAAGTCACTCCCTTGTGAAAACTCCGTTTTCCCTCAACCCCTGAAGAAAGTCTAAGCTCTTTACTGTGGGTTTGCGGCCCTTACCAACCTCCAGAACTTCCTCACCTTCCATTTCCCAGCGCACTCACTGGATGCTTACTGGTGTGTTCTCTTTATTTGGAAAGCTTAATTCTTGGATCTTGGTGAAACTGGCTCATCCAAGTTACTATTCCCCAAGGATGCTACAAGATTATGCCCCAGTTCTCCCGTCACCAAATCCTGCTTTATTGCTTCTGAGACTTCGCATTTCCTTGCAGCTATTACCTACTAACATACATAGCGCTTCCTTTTGTGTACCACCCTTTACTTTCCCCTTTACAGTGTCCGGCACACGGGTCTTCAGTCAACATCTACTGAAGCAATGGCCGAAGAGTCTACGCAGCCCAGATTCCCAGGCATGAAAAGCTGTCCCAACGTTACAATGGCAAGCTTTCCATACATAACCTCAGGCCCTGATAACCTGCTACTTCCCACAAAAATTCTGCCTCGAATCTCCTCAGAACAGCATTTGCAAGTCTGCTCTATAGCAGTGGTTGCAAAAATAGGAAACACCTGGCAGAGCCATCTGCTCTGCAAACATTTCTCACCTCTAAACAGGCCCTTTGTGCACACTTTTACCAAATTCCACCTAAGAGAAGCTGCATGTGCTGGGGCAGAGTGGGCAGGTTACCTGGCGTGTGCTCTCTGTGAACACTCTGACTGGTGTCTCGCTCCATCGCCCTTCAGATTCTGACTCACTCATGGGCTCTTCACCAAAAAGAAACTTTACGTTTTGCAGTACCGGGGTTTGAACTCAGGACCTTGCACTTGCCAGGAAGGCGCTTCAAAAAGCAACTTTTGCTCTTTGCTGTAAGTCCAGGCCAGCCTCTATCAAACTCTTCAGATCAGTGTTTAGTGTCAGGGAGCAAAGGAAGCCTTGGGATGACAATGACAGGACCGAGACCAAAATGTCAAATAAAAAAATCCAGGAACTTTGGGTTTTGTCAAAATAAAGCTTGGGATTCAAGGGTCAGTTTTTATGTTTAAAGCCATTCCAAGTCTTACAAAACCTTCTAAAAGACCATAAAAACATAGATTAGTGTGTGAAAATGATGATTTGGGCTCATTTTTTTTGGTCTAAGAAATATAAATTTAATTATGATTCTTAAAATTGTAAAGCAAGTTTAATCTTTAATTTTTTGATTTGCCAAGAAAAAAAAATAAAGCTGCTATGCACATTCATGTGAAAAAAATACTGATGAATTCTTTTTATATGGTGACTATATTACAAATTAAACTACAGTAGCAAAGCTAAATTTTTGGAGCAGATAATAACGTTGGAACAGTACAGTATCCCTCAGATAATAGCAACTGAATGAGGCCGGAAAATGATTTTTAAATCAGATGGCATATTACTGTACAATGTGTCACCATATACGAGTACCTGCGTATGTGATCTGTGTATAAATATGTAGATGCACGGGCACACCTGACCTGGGGGATACAGGGAAGGAGTGAAGAGGATGATGAGGAAGGGAGCAAGAGGGGAAGGTGCGGAGCAAGGACAGGAAAGAGGGAGTGAATGCAAATAACCCTTCCTTGGGCTATTTCACTATGACAACATGTTCCAACTGCTAAACAATGTTCTGGTTTGTAAATAAAATGCAGACCAGAAAAACAAATTTAGTTGACAGGCTACAATGGTATTCATAAAAGACACAGTGAATATAGACTTAGGTGCACATTCATGCTGGTGATTTTTCTTTTTTAAAATGTAAGCCACTAATATTTTAAGAAAAAAATTAAAACAAAAGCTGCATATTCATATTACACACAAATTGAAACACAAGTGACTTTTCGCACAGTGTATACATGCTTACGTAAACTCAAATATTACACATTTAAAACAATTTCCATTTAACATATGAAAGTTCTGAAATACATAAACGCATTAATACTATCTATAAAACTAAAGTTAGAACATCAATTTGCTACAAGCATATAAAAACATCAAGTGCTTCCTTAGAGTTTCAAGTTACCTCTTCAAACACCATCTAGTTTGCATAAACAGCCCTTCTCCAATAATCAGCATGGGCTTTTTTCTCTCAAGAGGTTTATTTTCCAGGTACATCGTAAGCTCAAGAAAACGAAGCCAACAATTGTGCAGTATAATTATGTTGTAACAATTTAATTGACATAATGCTTTAAAGTAGGTTTGGATGAAGTTCTCAAACACTTTGGTACATGTTTAGGGGCTTCTACTAGAAATAACAGAAATTTTAAGTCCCTTTAATCCCCATCTGCATTAAAGTGGACAAGTCTTTGGTTACAGGTTCTACATTTTGGGCATTTATTATCAACAAAATGGTCCCCAAACCAATAAACAGTGCTGATGCATGTTGCTTAGCCTGTTTCTAATGCAGCTGGATGCTCTACGTACTCATTTACTACACCACTGGTGGTCTGAATCTTTCATTTGTAAGCAGAGAAGTCAATACCGTTTAATCATCTCTGAAATTTTTGTTGTAACCTAAACTGTACAGTAATTTTCAGTAACTATACTGTTCCACAGTATATGTGATTATTAGAAAAACATTAAATTTAATTAGCTTATTCTGGTAAGTCAATATTAGACTGTAGCTAAATCTGCCTTAAATATAGCAGGTTGTCAGATAAACCCCAGACCATTCCATGTAAGGGAGAAACTGTTGCAAGTGTATAAAACAGCAGATATACAAGGAGAACACCAAACATACTTTATTAGCACAAAAAAGCAGCCATGACAAGGCACAGCAAGCAGAAACATACGTTAGCAGTCAAAGGGTTAGTGTTGCATACAAATATAGCTTCTCTCTTTTGCAGCCTTGGCAACAGCCGTAGGGATATAAAATGACCTTCTGTAGCAACTGGGAAGGAAACTAAGGACACTCGCCAGCGGCACAGCGCACGTTGACCAAAGGACACAGACGGGATTAGGCTACTGTAGTGCAAATGTCTAGGACAGAACTGGAAACTCAGTTCGGCACTAAGCAAACACTAGAACTTGGTAATACTTCCCAAAGCGCTCACTGAAGTAGTGTTACATACTATTCTAAGTGACAAAAAGGTGCTGAGTAAAGTTATTTACAGATACAATAAGTGTACAGTACCTTTCAAATCTGCACTTTAGGGTTCAGGTTTTTCCATGAAGAATTAACTGCACTGAAGTTCTATAAACTATACGTAGACAATTCAGCTATAAGAATTTACAACAAAGATAAATACTGCCCTCCAAATTATTAATTATAGTTTAACAATAATCTCAACATCAACCACTGTAGTTACTACTATCTGACTTGTTGGGGCAATTTCTAGTCTCATTTTCTTCATGGCTTATAAACTCATTTTGGGCACAGGAAATGATCCAACTGTAATGAAATAATGTTTAGACTGCACATGTCAACATAAAAAACAACAAACCCACACACAGTACTACAATTGCAGCAGCTATCCAAATGCCTGTTTTAAGTCAAAGCACTCGTTGAAAAAATTAATGCCTAGGGCCTTTAAATAATATTTTACTACTAAGTTGTGTAAGTCTGAAATTTTAAGAATGACTATTTAGAAAACCTGGTTTATTTAACAGTACCTTTTGAAGAAGCGAATAGGAGACTGACTATAAACTCTATCAACACTTAAGTGAACTGCACTATGCCCTTGTGGCCGGAAAGTTGCATTTTTGTCTTTTCCTAAAAGGAAGGCAGTCTTATTTTTTTGGACTTCCAAAGCTTGGATTTATAATAACTATAAACATCACTAACTTTTGGAAGGTAATAGAAAAATTCTTAGAAAAAATAATTTCAAACATCAGTCACACTGTTGGAATACTCATCTAATATTAATAATTTGTTCTTTAGTAAGAAATAGAATTCTTCATAGCAAATGCCCCAGAGTTGCCTCACTCACTTACTATAGACATTAAAAACCAAACTGTTAACTAAGCCAGCAAATGTTTTCCACTGTTTTACTGAACGCCTGCAGCTCTACCAGTTGTCTCTGTAGGCACCACGTTTCTCTGAGTAAGTAACTGCATCTGATAGACTAGGAATAGCTGAGCCTACAGACTGCATGGGAGAGCCTAGCACGGATGCTGTGCTTCTGGGAGGAGTACTACGCACGCAAAAGCAAGCCTGGGTAATGCCCTTTGGGGACAGAAGAGCTTACTTTGCCTTGACTGGTTCTCGCTCTAACCAGCGAACCCTAACCTTTTGTTTATAGTGATACTCTTTTAAAAAATCCTGTAGCATCGACGGCAGTGGGAGCCCATCAATCCCATCGTACGTGGTGCACCTGCAGATGACTGCGCGGCAGATGTACTGCAGGCTAAAGGGGAAGGTCCTGTTCAGAGATATAGTGAGCAACGGTTCAAAAAACATGCAAGAACTGGGGTCTTTATAATGTTCTAGAAGTCCTGTTACAGTCGAGGAGTGAAACACACACGGGTCATGGGCGTCAAAACTGAAGTTGTGATTCCACTGTTCAATCCGGGCATGCAGGGATCTGTTGTAGCGGCGGAAGCTCACAGAGAAGAGGTAGTCCTCTTGTGCAGAGTCCCTGAGCAAGAACGTGCCTTCAGGTTTCCCTTCCAGAAGGGCTTCTGCTTCATACCGGTCCATCACTCCCCAGTAGCAGGGGTTCCCTGTAATCTGAAGCAGATCCGGCACGAGGCAGTGTATGTAATCAATCTGCGTGTGGACTTTCCAAGCTCCCTGTCTGCTGACGTGGCCGTGGCTGTCTCCAGACACCTGGCGCTGCTTCTGCCTCCGTGACTGCAAACACAGGGTGGTCGCGTCCTCTTCTGAGTCACAAGTAGCTTGTGGAACTGCAGCACTGTCCCCACTCATTTCTGTCATTCCAGGAGCTAACTTTGGTCCCAGTTTATATAAGGGATTGACCTGTGCAGTAGCTTCAAATGTGTGTATTTGTGCATTGGGAGGGGGATCCACCCCTTCTTCAATACTAAGCCGTCTTCTCTCTCTGAGCCTATCTTCTTCATCTTCTGTAGAAACCAAGGATGGATCAAATGTATCAAAAAAAGTTGAATGTGGGCTCACAGGAGCTGTATGCTGTTTAATCAAATGCCATTTTTGTGCTAAATCTGAGCCAGCAGGAAAAGGGCATTTCTCAAGCATTAATTCAGAAAGATGTATTTTTCTTTTATTGGAAAAAACGGGCTTTGACTGCTTGCTGTAAGTTCTCATGGGAAAACACAAGCCCACAGTGTCCTGCAGCCTCTGTCGCAGAGAGCGGCTCCCAAGCGTTCTGCTGGAAACACTGTCCATGTCATGCACGGAGCTCACGCCATAGCGCCTCTCTCGTCTCTGCAGTCCACTTCGAGTTCTACCAAACTTTTTATCAGTATCCAAAGAACTCTGGGTCTTTGTGGAACAGGAATGCTTTTTCTTCCCACCCCATGGCGCATGTCGAGAGTAGGAATCTCTTCGTGCGAGTCTGGTTCCTGGAGTGACACATGAATCGCTCTCTTTCTCAATGCTAATTTCAACGATTTGAGGGATTTCAGCTGCACAGTTTTGGTTTCTCCTTGAAGAATTCTTTGCAGGACTTAATCCAAGCTGTAAGGCAACATTTTCTCTTAAAGAACTGCTCTGCTGCTGAGGAGCCGAGTCTCCCAGACCAATGCTTTTCTCTTTGACAGACAGACATCTGTTGGAGTTCATGTCCACACTTTCACTATGGCTTCCTCCTTCATGACTGAAGAGATTCTGACATCTGTATTTGAAGGTATTCCACATTTTCCCCACTTTATCCATTGATTATAAGAACTAGAGAGAAAACAGAAAAGGAGAACAGTCAATCAAGAGGGCCGCGTGAAGACGAGGCCGTGCTCGCCCTCTCCCCTTCTCGCTGGGGAGGTCAGCACCGGGTAGGAATGTGCCTGCTCACCTGGTGCCGCAGCCACTCTGTTGGGGAGTCATAAAGCCACCAGGCCCTGTTAGTGACACTGACCATTAGCCAAACTGTCCCAACTTTCCACTTACTTTCAGAAAGAATACTCAAAACCAAGGGAAAGGAAAGAAGCCCTCAGTTCGACTCTGGTTTCCTTCTCCCAGGGATCAAGTTAATTTCAATATACTGATTTTTTATTTACTTACTTTGAGTAAATGAAATATTGCCTCACATTATGTCAAAGGAAAAAAACATGCTGCTGACACAATTATATTCAACCTCTCCAAAGTTATAAAGATTAGGACATCTGTGTTCTAATCATTACACATTAAAATTAGCTCAAAACCCAGAGTAATTTTCCCAACTGCTTTTATCAACACCTTCCCCAGCATTCTAAAGTTTTGGCCTGTTTTTTTTTTTTTTTTTTTGGGTGGAACTGGGGTTTTGAACTCAGGCCCTTGTGCTTGCCAGGCAAGCGCTTATTCTACTAAGCCATTTTCCTGGCCCCTCTAAAGTTCATAGGTTAAAATCCTGTATCTTCCTTCTCCACTACATAATATCAAATTTTATTCATAGTTTCGAAGAAGTGGTCTGAATGGCAGAGAAACTAGGAAGAAGAATATAATATTTAGATTTAAAGGGAAAGGTACCTTTAAGCTTTCTAGTTGTTAACCCTGGAAGACTGAAAATGGAATATTGGGGGCAAAAAAGTTACACTAGAAAAAAACAAAACAAAACAAAACCTGAAGGCACTTTATGGTACTTTACTAAAAAATTCTTTAAGACTACGTAAGACTACAGAGAACCTCTTCAGGTGCCATCCTCCCTCCTTCCTGTCTGCAGTCCAGGCTGCACTTTAACGATGATCCCTCGAGTGGGGGGACTACATGAGCGCACCACGACTTGTCCTGCTACTTTGTCATTCAATGCATATGGTGCTTTTTAACATTTTCAGAATTTTTTGTTCCTATTCTCCACAATTCAAGATCAATGAGGGAAAATGACATTTTACAGTGGTGAATCTTCAGAGCTGATACTTCCATAATTTTGATTTTGTTACAACACATTTTTAATGTATTTTCAAGACAGTGACAAAAGTTGAGAATACAAAATAAACTTTCCTTAAAATGAATTACATGAAGAATGATCAAAAGTCCCAATGAATGTTTATTTATTTTTAAAAATTTTATTCATTTTTTCTTGGTGGTACCAAGGACTGAACTCAGAACCTCGCACTTGCCAGGCCAGTGCTTATTCTACTGAGCTATCTCCCTGGCCCCCGATGAATGTTTAAATTGTACAAGTTACAGTAAAAGACACATTGCCACTGAGCCCCTTCTCCCCCTGAACACTCACTCCTTCCTTCTTGCCGCTTTCTGAAGCGGTGCTGGAGGTCCTCACTGTGTCTTTAGTTGTGCTGTCACAGCCACCGGAACTGAGTGAAGACACTGACGTGATCATTTTGACTTTGCAGAAGAGCCAAACGCCACATGTCAGATGCTGTGAATAAGGCGGCTGACGACACCACGCTCTCAGGAGCCTGCCAACCCAACAGACAGCCGCTGGCAGCAGCCTTCGCTGTGTGTATATAGTGACACCTTGTAAAGACACCAAAGTAACCTCCAGAACTGCCTCAGAAAGTGGCACGATTGAAGGTATAAGTGTGTCTGAAGTGAGGGGAAGTATTCTGAAGGGGGTTAACAGCAATGTGTTTTTTAGTGTAACGCATTTTAAAAACTGAAATTATATTTTGATCGCCCCGTGTGTATCTTCCAGTTAGCTTCTCGGAGACAGGGCTCTTGGATTAACAACACTCTTCAACTAACGACAATACAAACATGTAGAATTTATGTCTACACCACAAAACATACTTTTGGATGACTTTTTTTGGGGGGTACTAGGAATTGAACTCAGGACCTTGCACTTGCCAGGAGGATGCTGTATCACTGAGCTATATTCCTGGCCCAATTTATTCTTTATTAAAAGCATAGTACTGGATACATGGGAAGTTTGAATATGTTTTAATAAAATGTATTAGGTGGAACTATTAAATGTCAGTGAGCTCTTAGAACATTTGCCTCCTCCCTCCTGCACACATTTTTTGTAACCTTAGATGCTTATGTCTTGTTGTAGTCAGGGTTTGCAAGGAAATAGATTTAATACAGGATACATAATTTATAGGATAATATTCACCCAAAGAGTCAAGCACAGAGGAGTACAAGCGATCTGTCCACTTGCCAGAGACCCAGAGAATCCGGCTGAGAGCCGCCTGGGTCCCACAGCAGTGTACTGCATGAGTCCTGCTGGGGGCTGAGCGCCCACGGCTGTGTCTCACGCAAGTCTGTATCAAGGATTTGCACCGGGAGGGCCCAAAGGTCAGTGGTGGAAGCTGAAAAGTCTATGCCAGCAGGCTGAGGGATCTGCACTGGAGCAGGAAGCGAGGCTCAGGGTAAGGACCAAAGCTCCCCTGAGAACAGCCGGTACCGTCAGCAACAGCTAGGACTGGAGCTCCTCCAACGATAAGCACAGCTGAGTTTACAGCAGCCGCCAGCAGGACAAGCTCGTCCAGCAACAGCACGCATCTTCCTCTCTAGTTCTCCTTTCTGGTGCTGGCAGCAATCCTCAGGTGGGTGGGTCTTCCACGCCCAAGCAAACCACCTAACCTAGTTCAGCTGGGTGCACAAGGTGACCATTAGTGCATTCACCACATATCTAAACCTCAAATATTCCTGATAAATTAAGATGAGTGGCTCGCTTACAATCCTGTTATGTACAGCCTAATTCTGACTAAGTCCTTTGATGACTTCACTATCTTTGTACATATACAGTACTCTTCTCTTATCCTGATTCTTTTGTATTCTAATTTCTTTAAATTTTTTATTTTTACTTGATTCATGTATAGTTTAAAGGTTAAATACTACTATAGGGCTTCTAACAAAAAATAGCATCACCCACCATACTCTTTCAATCAATTCCAGAAAGTTAAATTGTTTTAGCTATTTCTGCTGGTAATTTTTTTCTAGATAATATACTCACTGTCATTGATTTTTTTGCTTTTAAGACATTACTGATTTCAAAATATTGAAGCAGTAAAAAACATTTTGGTTAAGTTAGTATTTATGGTTATCATTGTGACCATGTATTATAGGATGTTAAGCCACTTTTCTTTCCTGTACAGTTGATTGTTCTTCCTAGAATTACTGCCTCTTTTCATTTGCTTGGTGTTCTGTCTACTGCATTCTTTATCAAATTTTACAGAATTTTAAAACAGCTTCCACTAAGGTTGAACACCACCCATACAGTCCCACCCTGTGGCCTCCCCTTCCCACTATTCTAGCAACTCCCCTTTCTTTTTATAATAAGAATGTTCTACTTCATCCTCGTGGTTTTCATTCTCTCAGAATAGAACGCGAGGTAGGAAATAGCGGGGTGGGAAACAACGTACCTCCAGGTCTCAAGGCTATCACACGTGATTTCTAGCTCCTGGGGAGCTTGCTGGTTAGCTCAGCTGTTTAGAGCACCTGCTTGGGCAAACCCAGTCAGGCACAGGTGACACCTTGGTTCGAGTCCCAGCTCCACATGTTGCACCAGACCTGCTCTTAAGGCTGTGTGTGTCCCCTTCTAGCTCCTACTGTAGATGTCTGGTAAAACCCTAAGTCACACCGATTTTATAGTCTGCTGAATGTGAGGTTTCATGTTCTGCAAAGCTGGAGCTAGTATCCTCCCCTGCGTGTGGCCTTCTTCACACCTTGTGCCCAATGCCACCCCCATCACCACCGCTGCTCTCCACCTTCCCCCCCTCCTCAGAGCCCTTCCCGAGTGCTGCCCCTCTTTGACAGCTCTTCTGATTATCTCCTATTTCCTTCCATTTTCCTTTTTTTTTTTTTTTTTTTTTGGTGGAACCAGGGACTGAACTCAGACCCTTGTGCTTGCCAGGGAAGCACTTATTCTACTGAGCCATCTTCCTGGCCCTTGCATTTCTTTTCTTTGGTACTTTCTGGTAGATTTCTTTAGCTTGAATTTCCAACATTTTTATTGCTGTTATATTTTTCCTATCACATTTTTAATTTCTACAACTGTGTTCCTGTTCTCTGAATGTACTTTTAAACAGCATCCTATTCTCATTTTGTAGACACCTTATTTCTCTAAGGATGCAAACTTGTAAAATATTTTCATCCTTTAAAACACTGTTTCTGGGGCCAGGGAGATGGCTCAGTAGAATAAGCTCTTCCCTGGCAAGCGCAAGGGCCTGAGTTCAATCGCCGGTTCAGCCAAAACAAAACAAAACAAAACAAAAACAAAAAACACTGTTTCTTAGTCTGCTTTGTTCTCCTGCAGGCAAGGGCCTCCAGCCTCCCTTTCCACCCTGAGGCATTTCCTTGATCCCGCTTCAGGTCCGCACCACAGGTCGCCCAGGAGCTCAGTCTGCCAGGGTGGGGCTTGTCAGCAGGAGGGCTTTACTAGGAGGCAAGGAAGCAGTGAGCTAGTTTCTGTGTAGCAGGACCCTCCGAAGTTGGCTAGCTCCCGGGCGGTGAATTAGCCCTGCTCGAAAGGGCTGGTCTCCTGCCAAGGCAATATGCACCAGGCTGCCGCGCTGTGCGAACAGAGCAGCGGGCGGTGAGGTTTCGTCCTCAGTGTCCAGCCTTGTACCTATACTTTGCTTTTCAAAAGGTAAACTTACTTTCCAAGGTCATCTCACCTTCAGTCATGACACAACCTCACGGACTCAAGTTCTCCATGCTCTAAACCTCTAGTGGTTTTTCTTTTTTTTAGTACCAGGGATTGAACTCAGGACCTTGCACTTGCCAAGCAAGCATTTATTCTACTGAACTATCTCCCGGGTCCTAAACCTCTGGTTTTATCCAAAACAGAGGAT